CCCAAACATGGCACGCGAATGACCAGCTCTGGTACTCCTGGGAAACTGACCGTAATGGATGGTAGTATCCTCCACGCCGACACATGACTCGTGCTGCCGCACTGCAGCGTTCTATTACGTCACAGTACAAAAAGCCAATGTTTTTTTTTGTATATTTCAACACAGTCATCGGTTGTTTTTGTCTGCACAGTGATTTTCAGCAGCCTACTTCTCATTTCCTTGGTACTATTCAATAGCACAATTTTGGTATCGGCGTATAAGCCCATGCCCGCGTATAAGCCCATGTTCTTGTATAAGCCCACCGAAATGTCCTTGTGAAACAGATAAGTCCACGGGCTTATCCGCGGGATTGTGACGGTATATACTCGCCAAAAAATCCGGCCAGTGCTGGTCATGGTGGGCGACTACGATGCATGCAGCATTGGGCGGATGTGTTTTTGGCAAAAATTGTATTATGAAAACCGATTATGATTGTTTTAGGCATGGATGAGGTTGGCAAGGCACCCTCGCATCAGAGCCATCTCCTGGCTCAGGAGAGGAAGCGGAGGAGTTTTGACTTGGAGGAGTTGACTATCTTTCTCAATGGCGGAGCTGACAGCTACAAGGCTAAGAACGAAATGGGTGAGCTTAACCAGGCTATAGTAAGAGTACTGAATAGCGACCACACACTTTCCTGCAAAGAATTTTACCGACGAGAGGAGGTAGCGTTTTAAATTGTCCATGTGTATCCACTTGCTTGATTCCAGTTCCGGGTGAGTTTAGATTTGGTGAACCTTGACTGAACTGGGATTTCTGCTGTGATCTCTCGCAGAGGCTATTGTGCTGAAGGATCCGATTCTGCGTCAAGATGACCTGCACTTTCTGTCGCACGAGGAGGAGTACCGGTTTTCCTTGCAGCGCTCAAAGAGAGCCATTGAACTGCTCCGTGAACTCAAGTTGGAATGGGGATCAGCAAAGGCTAATAAGTTTTGGCAGTAGGTTGACTATTCTTAAAATCTACATTTTAAGTAGCAATGATAGCACACAGTGAGAGAATTGTTACACACCGGTACATGTAGTTATTTTGACATGTCCTCAAGTCGTCAAATAGCTTTTAAAGCAACAGTGATGGCAACCGAAATCCCACTTCATGACTAGAACATCCCCAGGCCTGTGTGGTGCTAGCACAACTTGATGAATACTGGATGATGTAGCACAGTTCCACTTTGTTCACGAAGTCGAATTTCACCTGTTGCAGTCATGCGTGTTTATGTGCACAAGTTGGACATTCATGAGCCTGAGCTCCGATTTCCTTCCAGAATTGAGAAGCTCGACGGGCATCCATTCGCCTCCGAGGGGAATCCTTTTAAATAGTTTTTTTTTCACTACAGTACAAAGGATTGCTCTCCCTTGATCTTCTGCTACAGAGCTGTGGATACTGAGTTGCTTGCGATTGGTCTAACTATGGTGTTTATTCACACTATTTTGGTAAGTCTTTTTCTGTCTCTTCTCTCTTCCCACGCTGTCTTCTTTTCTGTGTGTTGGCATGGTTTCAGAGCTGCGGAAAGCGAATCTTTTCCGGTTGGCCTTAACTTGCACATGTTCACGCATGCATTGGCGGTAAGGGTGTGCGGCAAGCACTAATGCTGCTGTGTTGTATTATTCCACCTCCGCTGCCATTTAAATGATTTGCTCCGACTCATTTATCCTATCTCTAGCTGGGTTACGGATTATGGATGCCCTCTATTCGCATGCCCCTTGAACAAGAGTACTGTAAAAGGAAGGGTAGTTCCTAAATCAACTCGGGGGGGGGGGGGGGGGTGTCGACACAAGACGGTAAACAAGGAGGCACGGAGCAACCATGGGGCACTAGTGCGGATGGTCTTCTTGGGGTCATCCAATAACTGGTCTCAGAGTCATAGCCACACCACACAAATGCAGCTTGGGGGAGAAAAGACGGACAGTGTGCGAGTGATGGGGGAGAGTGTGGGAGGGGAGACTACACCGCGGCATGGAGCATCTACATGATATAAGCCATGCATGGTATGAAAGTGTCTAGGCAGAGGCACAGGGCAGACATCTGTGTGAGGAATTACAATACTTTAACTTGTAGGGACCATTCATTTCTGGCCCAGAAATCAGTTATCTTTCATCCACATGTTCTCATGCTGGTTTGTTTGCTCTCTACTTGTGGCGGTGTCTGTAGTCCCAAGGTACCAAGGAGCAAGTTGATTTCTGGGTGCCACTGGCTAAGGATTTCCGCATCATTGGGTGCTATGCGCAGACTGAATTGGGTCACGGTATGTACGTGTATGTTCTATTTTACCATAATAATATTATTGCAGTAAAGCTCCCCAAATCCAGGCAGGTTGGCCGATCGAGCATTTCCCGCAACTAGGGATTGCGGACTTGCACGGATTAGGGGCGTCCAGATTAGCGGAATTATTTTTGGAGCAGTGCTCCTCAGTTCTATCGACTATCCAAGTCCTGACTTCCTATTTGGCACTTAGCCTCCACTCGCAGTAGGTGATCCTCACATAATCCTCTCAGTACATAGTACTTGTTAAAACACTGTCTACCATTTACCGTGTTTTTCCGGAGCACAAGCCCCATTTTGAGCACAAGTAACTCACCCAAAAAAAGTCAGTATGGTTTATGCTATGATGGTCAAATTACCGGTGCTTAACAGGGCAGACTGTGTCTGTATTTCATGACAAAAAAATCTGGGTGCGGCCTATACTCCGGAAGATACGGTGATGGTGTTGTTTTTCTTGTGCTCTCGTACATCTACGCTGCCAGGCTCTTTCTTGCGTGGTTTGGAAACACGCGCCGAGTACGACCAGACAACGCAGGAATTCATCTTGAACACGCCGACGCTCACGTCCATGAAATGGTGGCCCGGCTCACGTAAGGATCAACTCCCATCGAGGAGACTTTTCCCTTCGGTGGCCGCAAGTAATTAGAGGCATGCAGTGCCTTTATCTGCACCCTAGTGAAATTCATCTCATTGTTAGTGTTATGGCACTTCAAGTCTTCTGAGCAATTCATTTGTCATTATGAAACAGTCCTTGTTGAAGCTGTTGGGAACTTTGAAAAGGACATGATGGTCACACGAGATCAAGTCGGACTGTTAGGTGTTTCTGATCACGCTTCCCCTTGCTGCCTGGTCATCACAGCTCACTATAGGGCCACCATGTCACCAGTCTCTCTCTCTCTCTCTCTCTCTCTCTCTCCCTCTCTCTTTCTCTCTCTCTCTCTCTCTCTCTCTCTCTCTCTCTCTCTCTCTCTTTCTCTCTCTCTCTCTCTCTCTCTCTCTCTCTCTCTCTCTCTCTCTCTCTCTCTCTCTCTCTCCCCTCTCTCCCTCTCCCTCTCCCCCCCCCACCCCGACTCGCTTACATGATCTAACTAAACATGACTGTATTGACTTATACTCCTGGTTTTGCTGGGGCTGTGTATAATATGACTGCTGGCAATGTGTGTACGTAGTTGGCAAGACGGCAACCCACGCGCTGGTCATAGCCCGTCTGTACATGGCTGGACGAGAGCGTGGCATTCACATGTTCATCATGCAGCTCAGGGACATGGAGACGCACCAGCCACTGCCCGGTGAGATGCTAGCATGTTCCGCTGTTTTTGTGTGGGACCTGTGACATGTGCAACAGCGATTCTGATGTGGGCTTTGATGCGGAGCTTCCATAATGCATGGTCTCTTTACACAGAGTGATGTGTATGTTGATGCAAGGTCTGGGTCTTGACAAGACTGGCCCTTAGAGACAGATGGTCTTTCTACACAGGGTGATGCGGATATAGCAGGTTCGAATGTGTGTTGCTGTATGGTCTGGTGTCCAAGTTGACTGGTCAGGTGGTCAGGTGGTCTCTAAAAGACTTGTGGTCTCTTTGTGCTAGCCTCATGCATATTTACTTGTACCTGTATTGTGCATGGCCAGGTCAACTGGTGAGACCTAACAAGGTCGATATGGCTGGTTGTCCAGCGGTGGAATGCATGCATGTGTATCACGAGTATAATAATTATACTAAGTTAGTACCTGAAAGTACTACAGTTTCGGTGATTGACTGTGTGGTCATGACTTTCCGCATGTGTATGTTCGCCAGGTATCACGGTGGGAAACATCGGTCCACGCGTCGGATATAACCCGAACGACAACGGCTTTCTGGGTCTGAAGAATGTCCGCATTCCTCGAATGCACATGCTGATGCGATTTGCTGAGGTTAGTTGGCTGACTCAGTCGGCTCAAGGTTCTTCTACTGTCGTGGACATTGAAACCCGATGGGATGACCGGGGATGGCGGCCTTACTGCTTTTACAGTTTTAGCGCGTACACGCACTGTAGCTCACGTGCACACTATGAAAATGGACCAGCAGTGCTTGCGGCGGCTGCAAGGTCCAGCACCCCGTGGCCGTCGCTTCTCAATGGACTTCAATGTCCACAGCAGTACTTGCGTTACCCTAGTAAATAGTTGTTAGTGATTTTTGCTAGTCAAGTGCAGGCGTGTAGCCGGGCTGGTTCATGACATGCAAGGAACTTGTTCTCCGGCATCGGGTGGTAAAACAGTGCATTGTACTACTGATAGACGGATACACGCGGGTCGAGACGGCCGTTTTCACCTGTCACGGGCTGGTACTGAACTCCCTGCTCAAAGGTAGCTGGCATGTACATGCTCAAGTTCTGTCATGATTGTTAAGAAGTTATTGTGACTGCCTGACTTGCTGATAAAGTGAGACCAGTGGTTAGCAATAGCCCAATGGTGCTCAGAAAACTAGTTCTTATAGACAAGTAGTGGGCTTTCAGCACCGGTTCAAATGTACTTGTATAATCACAGTAACATAGTCTGGGTCCTGAAAGGACTGGTCTCATACAACCAGTGATCTCTCAACACAGATTCCAATACTACTTTCCGAAGTTTGAGCACTCTGGCGCTAGAGCACCGAGCTATCTTTGCCGTCCTTGTGCCATGGCCGGTAGTTCGTGAGGCCTAGATGGCCGTAACAGCATCAGGTCTTATTGTACATGTGTGTAAGAGTTAGTAACAGGGGCTGAGCCGTGACATGTCTCATAACTTCATACGACAGGTGGTCACCATAACATACTATGACAGTATAATTATACTTTTGTTGAGTACGACTTGGACGAGATTCTCCTGACACAACTCACAGCGGGACAGGTAGGTGGAACGGCATTTATTAGGGTAGACGAAGAGACGGAGACAAAGACAAACTACTATGACTACCTTAGGATTATTGAAGAGAGCGAGATTGACTGAGAAACAACGCAATATAAAGGGCCTGGGTAGCTATGGCAAACATGGGCACGCAAATAGCTACCCAGGCCAACGGAATGAAAGGTGAGTATGACGTAGTACGGGTGCATGCAGGCCGGCCAGCTTAGGAAAGGCTGTAGGTAAGACTGTACGGGAGGAGGTACCTAACACTTTTCACACTGTAGTAAGAGCTTTGTGTGTATCCCCAGCACTGACAAACACATGTAGCGATGGTTGTCTAATTTGCCGTATCATACTTCATAAACAACTGCAGGTGACACCGGACGGACGCTATGCATCACTGACACGCGCTGCAAAGCCTAGCTACGGCACGATGGTGTGGATACGGGCAGGTCTGGTCACAAGCAGGGCGGTTAAGCTGTCCAAGGCGGTGACCATTGCCATTCGCTACAGCGCAGTCAGACAGCAGGGTCACATTGATGATAAGTAAGAGCTGATCACTAGGGTGTCCCATAAACAATCTTCATGACTTTAATGCAATTAGAAGACCAATTATTCAACTCGGATGGAGAGCCAAGGATTAATTTTTTTTTTGAAGAGGACCATGAGTTTACAAGTTATCCGTTTTTGTCCAACGCGATGCAGCTAAGCATCAGGTCGTTGAATGTCAGTATCACATCAGTCAGTTTTGTGCTATTTGTTGCACATTTTGACTCACCATTATCCTGCTTGTAATCGTTAGTGTTGGACAAAATGGATAACTTGTAAACTTATGGTCCTCTCTTTTTTAGAAGACCAATTGATAATTATAGGTCTGATCGGCTGAAAAGGGAAAAATCTGAGAAAAGATTGGCATTTACCATCAGGACTCGAACCAGGGACCTTCGCTATAGGCCAGCGATGCTCTAACCACTGAGCTATGGTGGAGCGGTCATGCCGGATTAATGTGAAGAAAATTCAGGAGAACAACAAGGTGAAAACAGCTGGTTGTGAGTCAGACCACCTCAATTTCACCCTTATGAGCTTCATTTGCTGCCCATGTACTAATCGGGTATGGTGTGGTCTGGCACATGCAAAACTTCCTATTAACAGCTGGTTGTGTTTGTAGTCTTATAATTATTGTGTTGTAACATGGAAGTGCACACAATTAGTTAGCCAGATGTGTGATAAGATGTCTGTTAGGTGCATAGGGACATTGGAGGTGGTATGATTGATTAATACAGTATTGGCCGTGCCACTCTTTGCCCCTGGTGTAATTGAGCTGATTTGATCTCAAAATTTCGGGACTTTTTTCAGAGCCACCCCCCCCCCCCCCCCCCCACGAGTAAACTGTACTAAGTTTCAGATGGCTGACCACACCACCGTATAATGCCTTCCGACGCCCCTGTCTGGCTATTGCCAATAATACGAGTATATGCCTCCGTTATACACACAACAGAAGCGAAAGGCTGTGTTAGCTGTAACTTAAAGTTTCACGCATCGGAGCGATCATCAGACAGCAGCATTCACTATCGAATTCTCTACGAGCCGGCCTAGATATTTGATGCTAGTGTGGAAGTTGGTGCATATGTGCGAAGTGAAGACGTGGCATTGGGACAATGGTATTGAGTTGTTTTGTGAGAGTTAACGAATATAGGTGAGAATAGAGGCGATAACAGGGCAGTGTTACCGAGTCATCAAAGGCGATAGCGACAGTAGCGCAAGACCACAGCAGGAGTGAAGAGGGAGAGAGAAAGCACCATGGCGCCAAACCTGGTGCAGGTTGCGCCATGTTGAAAAGCAACTCATGTAACTGATGGTGAGAATCTGGACAGGTAATACTTGTTCTCGTGTCTGCATTTCGACACCAACTCCGACCTTTTGTTGGTGTAGACCGTTTTGTCTGCTTCCAGGATCTCCAGTTTCTCAGCCAGGCATAGGGGACACCGCTTGGTCGCGTTCGAGTAGGCCTGGGCCTTGGTGACGACGGCCCATTTGACAGAGTGCGGAGTGTTCTTCCGCTTGAGCTTCCATATGCACTTGGACAGCTCCGTGCTTTTTTCCATCCTCTCATGCCTCGTCGTGCTCATGTGATTGTTGTATCTCTGTTTAAAGGGTGGTTCCGTTAGGCCGAGGTACTCGTGCCGCTGCTCTCTTCCGGTGTGCTGGACTGTTGCCTTGTACACGATGCATCGTACTTGGTAGTCGCCGTCCATTGGGCAGATGCTTTTGTCTCGGCAGTTGCATCGTTTGTCGGGGACGTTCTCGTCCTGTGTTTGTCTCTTCCTTTGAACATGGTTGCTGTGGGATTTGACTATTGCGGACATATTCGGCATACATGAATAGCTAACTTTGACGGTGTTGCGGTTTAATATCTGACGCAATCGGCAGCCGTGAGGGAAGTGTGTGTCGAGGAGTCGGAGGAATTTGTGTGCGATGTCTGTGGCCACGTTCTTACTAAAGGGTGGGTTGTACTAAGTGATGTTGCGCCGCCTATTTTTCTTTCTTCGTCCTGTCTCCTCCTTCCTCTCTTCCATGTACTCGACTCGTTCCACGTATCCACTCTCTCATCGTTGTACGCTGGTGCCGATTCCTCAAATATGTGTCGGTCACTTGATATGTCTGTTAGTCGTCTGCTGATCGTCTTTGGCAATTGTTGGATGATGGCCGGTGGGTGATTAGAAAGTTGGTGGACATAAACGGGCTTGTTGTTCGGCTTCCGGTATGGTTGGTATTTCCCTGTTGACAAATCCAGTGTCACATCCAGGAAACCTACCGTCATCATGCCAGCGCTGATGGTCAGTTTCAAACCGAGATTCGTGAAAACCTGGCATATGGTTTTTCTGGCGCGGTCTGCTGTACTGCCCGTCGCATCTCTGATCACCGCTAGTCCATCATCGCGGTACAATCCGATGTCCGCGCTGTCGAACTCCTCCGATAGCTTTGACAGGGCATATGTGCCAACCAGTTCGCAGACTTCGGCACCGTCGAAGCAGCCCATGGTCACGTCGAAAAGTCCTCTTCCGTCTTTCTTCATCCACTCCCGATCACTGTTGAAAAGCAGGGACTTCCGCGAGTGCATGACAATTTCCTTATCCTGCTGCGTTCTGTCCGTGTACTGTGTGGCGAAAGTGAGCGCTTGTCCGAGTAGGTCCTCGGATATGGATGGGTAAAATTCTGCAATATCAAAACAGATGAAAGAGCATGTGGATTTGTGTTCCAATCTTCGGAACCACTCGATCACTGCTGTTGTGTTTTTCCACGAATTGATGTTGAGTTCTGATCGTACTGTCTGGACAATTCTCTCCATGATGCTTTTACTGACTCGGGCAATGTCGCTTTTTGCAAGGTTGATCAGCCGGCATGGAGTGCTTTGCTGAAAGTTTTCTTTGTGGTCTTCCTCCTTTATATATCAGTATCCTCCAACAAGTTTATACGGTTGTACAATACAGTTAATATTCTACGTTCCTTCATCATTACACTATACCAACTGACACCATGTCATTCTGTGTGAAACGGCATCCAAAGGTGGGCCGGCGATGCGTGGTAGTTGACTTTTAAAAATACACTCAGCCGTTATTCTCTACGTCTTTGTGTACCCTTGCTCAGGGCTGGTGAAGTGGCTGTCCTGGACTATGTGTCACAGCAGCATCTCCTTTTCCCACTGCTAGCCACTTCCCTGGCGTACCTTCACGTGGGCCGGTGGCTATATGCAGAGTATGTAAGATACAGACCTGACAATGCCATGCAAGCAGCTGAAGTGAGTAACTACTTTACGTGTTTGCCTCTAGCCAAGGTCCTAGCTACATGCCTGGTGCATTCTGAAACCTGAGGATTATCTCCAGATCAACGAGTCACAGTCTTAATCTTTTTTGTTGAAGCAGTGCTTGTTTATCTTGAACATTGTACTTGGAAGTTGGTTGCTCCAAAGAGGAGCACACGCTTCTTGCCGAACTTGACACTTGACTGACTCACGACCGCCATTGTACTTGGGTAAAAAAATTATCTCCTGATTAATGAGTAATCAACGAAGAGACAATAGCCGCGTAATGCCAATGAATGGAATTAACTGTGCACTCATCAGGCATAACATTATCGAAGCTTGACAAATTATACTCCATAACGTTTTCTCGTGACTAAGTGGGATGCCCACCCGATGATTAGTCTACTCAGCAATCGTGTCACTGTATGCCTGCGTTTCTACATAGATGCATGCGAATAGTTCCACCCTGAAAGCGCTGTCCGCCTATGTTGCAACTAAGGGTATTGAGGTGAGTAAAGCTCTTGCTAAAATGTGATGCTACGAGGGTTGAAATTTGAAACATCAGTGTCATGATTATGTTAGCACATGCTGACAAGCGAAACTGGTCTATCACTCTGTAGAATTATAGTTCTGATGAGCTCTCTGGTTTCTTTTCTCCCCACACTCATAACTAGACCGAAGGAGGTGTTGAATATATTGATCTGGTTACGGAAAGGATGAAAGAGCTGTAACTCTCTAATGGTACATTTATTGTGTGAAAGGACAAATGAGTGGGTTTATGGGTGTGTGTGTGTGTGTGTGGGTTTGTGTGTGTGTGTGTGTGTGCGTGCGCGTGTGTGTGTGTGTGTATGTGTGTGTGTGTGTGTGTGTGTGTGTGTGTGTGTGTGTGTGTGTGTGTGTGTGTGCGTGTATGTGCATGTGTGCGTGTGTGCGTCTGCGTATGTGTTCGTGTGTGCATGGACGGGGATAGGAGATCAGCCTATAGACTTCATAGGTTGCCCACTGACTTCACATATTGTTACCGTCCTAAGGGTGTCCCTTGTTTCACCCCCCGGTTTCTGTGCCCAGACATGTCGTCGAGCCTGCGGCGGGCATGGCTACTCTCGCTTCAGCGGCCTCCCTCACATCTACAAGTATGCCACTGCCGCTGAGACCTATGAGGGTGAAGCCATGGTGCTGCATCTGCAGACAGGAAGGTAAATTAGCACTGTGCAATACATCCTGGTAGCCACTAGCAGCTGGGATTTTCCCTTCGAGTACTGGTACAAAACCTGTGTTATGTGACCACTGTGAAAACAGACCACCTGTCTTATGAGACCAGTTGTTTCAGGACCCGAAAACAATTTTTATGTTTGTACATTTAAACCTGCTCTATTTCTGCAAAGCTAGCTGTTTCAACATACTCGTTGTACAATCTACATTTAAACCTGTGTTGAAATACCAGCACGGCTGAACTGTGGGCTATGGCGCTTACTGATCATCATTTGGAACAGCGTTGCCTATGCCATGCATCTACAGGATTTCATGGACCTGCATACTCCATCTTGTCCTAGCCCTGTCTCCACTGCGTCAGGCATTGTTGCTTTGTGCATTGTCTATCCCGGGTGGAAACCCTTGCTTTGTACCTGGTACATAGCAAACAGACTTACACAAGCACAACGTTTGCGGGGGTTAACAAATAAGAGAAAGAAGCTTGTTTTAAATATTATCTACACAAGCACAGTGTTTTCCCATGCATTTTCTCTGTGTGTTTATCCTGGACAGGTTTCTCATGAAGGCGCTGCGTTTGTTCAAGAGTGGCCAGACACTGACCGGGACAATCAAGTACCTCTCCCATTGGCTGACGGTGGTGAGCGACACCAGTCCCATCGTGCCGGCCGGCAAGTCGCTTGCCGATCTCTTCGTTCTGTCCAATGTGTTTGAGTGTGCCGCAGCCAGGTGAGTTGCTTTGGGCCATGCACTCACTCTTGGTGACGTACATACCTGTTTCAGTCTTCTGTTGTGTCTGTGAGGCGTTGTTCAGCTCATTTCAGCGTTACTAGTGTGTCATGTACATGATCTGCTACAATTAGCTGCCCTTTTGTATCTTTGTGCGTGTATGTGTGTTTGTTTGTCTGTGTTTGTGTGTGTTTGTCACAGTGTCTCTGTCTCTCTGTCTGTGTATCCGTTTGTCTCTGTGTGTGTGTGTGTGTGTGTGTGTGTGTGTATCTGTCTGTTTGTCTATATGAGTATATGTTTGTATGTGGGGATGCGGATGGGCGGGCACGCATGCTTTTACCGTTAGTGGTTTGGTGGGTACACGTGTGTTTACATGATTGTGTAACCTATGTCACAGCGTGTATCATCGCGGTTATACCTTTTGTTTCATGTTTGATAACCTCTCAGGCTGATAGCTCTGGCTGGCCGAAAACTGGAACACTTCTTGGAACAAGATGGTCTCAGCAAGGAGCAAGCAATGAATAGAGCTGCTCCTTGGCTTGTCCGAGCATCGGAGGTGAGATTTCTTCAAAGTTCCATTTGTGTTATTTATTAAATGGTGTCTGATGTGAACAAACCAACAGGTTAGCAGGAGGAGGTAGGGCTCCTGTGCAGAGCACGTGTTTGATCCGCAAATAGCCTGGTCAGGTCTAATATCCAATTACATGTACGGTGGAATGTTTCTGGTCAACTGTTCATGCTGGTGTCTGCCACTTGAGCATTATTAGATTTGCACATTGATACAAGGATGCCAAAACTACTAACTGACAAAATAAATATTGTGAAATTAATAGAGAGTACTACAAGTACAGGATATGGAGAGAAGTCCTCAATGATTTCTTCTTGTGCCTATACCTTCTTACCATGTACTTCAAAGTATTATCACTATAATTTATCTGTCTGTGCAACACAACTCCTGACACAGCCTTGAGCAAAAAAGTGTTGTATTGTCGTTCTTTGCATTCAGGCTCATGGCGAGGCCCTGTTTCTTGTCAGGTTTGCCAGCATTGGTGATGCTAAGCTAAGCCGGCCAGCAAGAGAGATGCTGAAGGGCTGTGCACTGCTGTACGGTCTGTGGCGCATTGAGGAGAACACCATGTTCTTCATGGAGGTAATCTATAGTTGTCATAGTGCCACTCTCTCATGCATTGTCTCATGCATAGTCGTTTACAAGCTCCAGGCAGGTCCTTTCCACGTGTCGCTGAGAATACATCCACAGAAAATGGCCCCTGTCACAGCATCGGCAGTCACACATCACAGTCTGGCCCATGTCACAGCATCGGCAGTCACACATCACAGTCTGGCCTGGCTAGTTACAGATGAATTACTGAGTACATGTAATTACGAGTTTTCGCCAGTTATGAATGTCTACACTTGGGGCATTTGTACTGTAGTGCCCAGAGCCAGAGCTGGTGTATTTGAGTAACATGGTGTGTGTGTGTGTGGGACGTCTTTTGTTGGAATTGTACGCAATGAAGATTGTATTACGATACTAAGCCTTTCTGTGCTGCTGCTGCTTCTGCTGCTTCTGCTGGTGCTGCTGCTGGTGGTGGTGGTGCTGCTGCTGGTGGTGCTGATGCTGCTCTACCACTGTACGTTGTACATGTGCAGACAGGAACGCTAACACCTGGCAATATACAATCAGCACGAGAGCACATTTCAGAGCTACTTGCTCTCCTCAGGTACGCAGTGGGTCGAGAAATACCTCTCCTAAAATGTCTCTATGGGGCAGGAGTTGTGCTAGAACTCATGACGTAATGGTAGTAAATAACGTGGTGTAATGGAAGCCTGACGTAATAGAAACCACTGGCATGATGTAATGGAAACCACTGGCATGCCGTTTAATGGAAGTTGCATGCCATTGCACCGCCGGGTAATGAGTAATGAGTACCTCTGACATCCATTGATATCATACAAGTATACAAGTAAATCTTTGGTTCATGGTTTCCTAGGATTTTTGGATCATTGACCTATCCACACACTAGCCTATCCACACACTGCTTAGCCTACCCACACACACTGCTTAGCCTACCCACACACACTGCTTAGCCTACCCACACACACTGCTAGCCTATCCACACACTGCTTATCCACACACACTGCTAGCCTATCCACACACTGCTAGCCTATCCACACACTGCTAGCCTATCCACACACTGCTAGCCTATCCACACACTGCTTAGCCTATCCACACACACTGCTTAGCCTACCCACACATTGCTTAGCCTACCCACACACACTGCTAGCCTATCCACACACACTGCTTAGCCTATCCACACACACTGCTAGCCTATCCACACACTGCTTATCCACACACTGCTTAGCCTATCCACACACACTGCTTAGCCTATCCACACACACTGCTTAGCCTACCCACACACACTGCTAGCCTATCCACACACTGCTTATCCACACACTGCTTAGCCTACCCACACACACTGCTAGCCTATCCACACACTGCTTAGCCTACCCACACACACTGCTAGCCTATCCACACACTGCTTAGCCTATCCACACACACTGCTTAGCCTATCCACGCACACTGCTTATCCACACACACATTGCTTAGCCTACCCACACACACTGCTTAGCCTATCCACAAACTGCTTAGCCTATCCACACACTGCTTAGCCTATCCACACACACTGCTTAGCCTACCCACGCACACTGCTTAGCCTATCCACACACTGCTTAGCCTATCCACACACACACTGCTTTGCCTATCCACACACACATTGCTTAGCCTATCCACACACACTGCTCTTCATTTCTCCTCAGTGGCGACTGTAGTATCACCTACAGTACTGTCGAGCGCCGAAGAACGCCCAGGCTAGCATTTCACCAAGCACAGCATACCAATGAATACATGGTACTGTACAAGAAGAACTATTTGTCTGGAATTTAATTTCGTCTTTTTCGTCCAAGGAGCTTTTGGACTAAATTAAATGCCGGACGAATGTCGATGTGTCCAGCTTTTCAATACACTCTTATGATCCATGGACGAAATTTACAACTGGACAAACTCCCTTTCGAAATTCGAAATTTTTGACCGAAGAAATTTTCTGCCTGTACAGTAACTCACCCGGGCATAGACAGTAGTACAGTCTGTATCGGCTATAGCGTACCCTTTTGATTTCCGTAATTTTATCACTATAACCGATGCATCACTATATGCGATACGAGCGATTTCTTTTATTTTTTTCGATCCACACATGAAGGGCAAGGAAATACTTCCAACATGGCGTTTTGACAAATGAGCATGCTGCATAGTTGACAGTGCCCGCATTTCCATAAAAAAATTCTGTTATGTACATGTACATGTACATGTATCACTATAAAAATAAGCAACGTGAAGAAAGTAAAAAAATAGAGCCTTTGATATTATTTGCTATTATTTCTCTTTCCCTCAAACCAGTTAATATTTTGATATTATTGCTACATATATTTTTTTAAAGTGATCACTATAGCCGATAGTAATATAGTGTGTTCTGCATGTTTTGATTCTTTGTTGCCATCATAATATCCGATATATCATTACATCCGATAATATTGGTTAGCCCCATCCCTCACACAAACAAGTCAACAAAGAGGCATCTTTGGATTGAGGAGTGCTGGTTTCGAAACAACTGGTTTGAAGCTCAAAGTAGAGCTGGTGTTAGCTCAGAGCAGAGCTGCTGTTAGCTCAAAGTAGAGCTGCGGTTAGCTCAAAGTAGAGCTGCGGTTAGCTCAAAGTAGAGCTGCTGTTAGCTCAAAGTAGAGCTGCGATTAGCTCAAAGTAGAGCTGCTGTTAGCTCAAAGTAGAGCTGCTGTTAGCTCAAAGTAGAGCTGCTGTTAGCTCAAAGTAGAGCTGCTGTTAGCTCAAGGTAGAGCTGCTGTTAGCTCAAAGTAGAGCTGCTGTTAGCTCAAAGTAGAGCTGCGGTTAGCTCAAAGTAGAGCTGCGGTTAGCTCAAAGTAGAGCTGCTGTTAGCTCAAAGTAGAGCTGCGGTTAGCTCAAAGTAGAGCTGCGGTTAGCTCAAAGTAGAGCTGCTGTTAGCTCAAAGTAGAGCTGCTGTTAGCTCAAAGTAGAGCTGCTGTTAGCTCAACGTAGAGCTGCAATGCTAAATGGATGTAATATAGCGCAAGGCAGAGCCGCAGCAAATAGCTAGATAACACCAGTTGTGAGAGTGGACCCGGTTAGTGGGTACGATAATATTATGATGGTGTGAATAAGTTGGATAGGGAGGGATGGTGGGAAAAGAAACACTGCTGAAGCACGATCCGTTGTCTGGAAGAGCACAACAGGGCAAGCAAGATTTGTTTTTCTTTTCCGCAAAAATGGGCTGGTGCCATTTGTGATTACGCAGCAAAACAAAGCGCATGACGTCAGTCTTGAATGCAGTACAAAGCAATGCAGTGCAGTGTGTGCGCTAGTTCGGATTGTTGCTAACAAGTACTAGCACAGCTAGTACACCATTAGCCCCATCCCTCACACAAACAAGTCAACAAAGAGGCATCTTTGGATTGAGGAGTGCTGGTTTCGAAACAACTGGTTTGAAGCTCAAAGTAGAGCTGGTGTTAGCTCAGAGCAGAGCTGCTGTTAGCTCAAAGTAGAGCTGCGGTTAGCTCAAAGTAGAGCTGCGGTTAGCTCAAAGTAGAGCTGCTGTTAGCTCAAAGTAGAGCTGCGATTAGCTCAAAGTAGAGCTGCTGTTAGCTCAAAGTAGAGCTGCTGTTAGCTCAAAGTAGAGCTGCTGTTAGCTCAAAGTAGAGCTGCTGTTAGCTCAAGGTAGAGCTGCTGTTAGCTCAAAGTAGAGCTGCTGTTAGCTCAAAGTAGAGCTGCGGTTAGCTCAAAGTAGAGCTGCGGTTAGCTCAAAGTAGAGCTGCTGTTAGCTCAAAGTAGAGCTGCGGTTAGCTCAAAGTAGAGCTGCGGTTAGCTCAAAGTAGAGCTGCTGTTAGCTCAAAGTAGAGCTGCTGTTAGCTCAAAGTAGAGCTGCTGTTAGCTCAACGTAGAGCTGCAATGCTAAATGGATGTAATATAGCGCAAGGCAGAGCCGCAGCAAATAGCTAGATAACACCAGTTGTGAGAGTGGACCCATGAAACCAGCACTCCGTTAGCTAAGCACTATTGACGCACAGCAAGGGTCAATTAATGTCAGCACAGGCAAGCATTGCGCAGCTAGAGTTCAGTAGCTCATTACTCACCCGAGTTGGGGATCATGGCATCCATGGCACGGCAGCAAGCCGGGACGATAGCTGGCGCTATGCGCTTGTTGTAGTCTGGATGTAGCGTAGACACGCATCGCTCTTTCCGCTGACCTGCCACTCGGAAGAAGGAGTCGGGGGCACTAGCCATAGCAGCGGTGGTGGCTGCACCAATGTGGACCGAATGCCCGGAGTAGTTCGACTGGGATGGTACACCGGCCGCAGCGACAAGAGACCATACTGTTACTGTGAATGACTGCCTGGTCAGCTGCTGTCTGTTCGAGAGTACGAACAAGAGTTGCTCCGGTCCCTCGCGACGAGTGACAGATGGGTAGCTAACAATGGCACGGACCGGGCAGTACGGCGGTATAGACGGGCCAATGTCACTAGTAACGCCTTTACCGAATGGGTCCGTCTTGGATGAAAGCAGGAAGAGTTGCAGGTGTCCGTCACCAGGGGAGCTAGTACAGCCCCGTGTGATGCCATTAGTGAATTCAGCGCACCGAAGAAATCCAAAGAAGCAGCATGGCGGCTTGGTAGAGCAGCTTGTCATGGCCATTCAGGATACTACTTTTCCGGCGTGCATCCGTCAGGTGTCGTAGGATTGGCATAGTTATAGGAAGGCGAGGGGTGAGTGCAGCCGTACAATGGCATCGCTGGATGCCCTTCAACACCCTCTTCAGAAGCCACGCATCTACTAAGGGGCCGGCAAACCCATTCTCAAGGTGGGCTTTATGCACCGCACTCGCATACACAGATACAGTTCAGGGCACGCTGATCATAGTTCACGCATGAATGTGTGTCCAGGAACGATGACTCGGGCAGCAAAAGTGAGCTTCCCCAGGAGGGACTCGAGTTGACGCTGGCCGATGCTGCGCTCGCTGATAGTAGCCATGAGTGGCGCACGGATCTCGGACAGCTTGTCCTCTGGTAGCCGAGCTTCGTGGCGCTCGCAGTCTAGGACAATACCAAGGAAGGTCAATGATGGTGATGGCCCTTCGAGCTGGGATGGAGCAAAGAGGAGTGCCGAGATACGTGAACGCCCGGAGGGGAGATGGTGAGTTGCTGGTTGGCTGCAGCCAAACCAGTGGAGATATCGAGAAAGTCATCGAGGTAGTGAAGCCGGTGATCTATAGCAAACTCGTGCTGCATGATCCAGTTGACTGCTGTGGCTACTGAGTCAAAGACGGCTGGGCTGGAGCGGAGGCCGAAAGGCAGAAAGCGCTCGTAGTAGTAGGAGCCTTCCCAGCGAAGTCCTGGCGGCGGACTGGGATCGGCCGAAATGCACTGCGTACATCGAGCTTGGACAAATACACAGGCTGTGGGCATGACATGATGATGTTGATCGCGTTGTCGATGCTCGCGTAGTGCAGAGAGAGCGGCTCGGCAGGAATGCTGTCGTTCGCGCCGGTGCCTTCCGGACTAGACAGATGGTGGATCATTCGCGGCTTGCCGTTCTTTTTGGGGATGGCACCAATACCAGAGCGGCGCATGAACTGAAATGGAGGTGACGGAAATGGGCCTGTGGTCTCGCTGCGGGCGCAGGAAGCAGCTAATTGCTCGAATATAAATGCCGAGTGAGTGAAAGCCAATGGTAGATTATTAGAGAAAACCGAAATGTCGTGTTGGCCGGCAGATCCAAGAGTAAAGCCACGGCGCAGGCCATGGAGAACATACACAACACATGATTGATCTGAGTGGTTACGTAACAGGCGGGCAAAGTGGTCAGCTAGCAGTGTGGTGTCTGCAGAGTGTATAGGAAAGAAGCTACGTACCGAGTCAAGCGATTCAGTAGCCATTCTGCTAGGAGCGGCGGGGTGGCCGATTGGCTCCGCGCTGCTGCTGGTTGCACATGATGCATGGGTGGTCCTTGCCACACTGGCTGCAGGTGTGGGAGAAGCGGCACGACGACGAAGAACAGCGACCTCCATTGAAGTTGCGGCAGATTTCTTGGCCGTCGCTGGTATGGTTGCGACCACTGGAGGTAAATGCTGCTGGCTTCGGGACGAAAAGGACACAAACCGCCCCTGGATGGACCGTCTTACATTGAGCGCATTTTGGGTGTGCATGGCCTGTGACAGCTATCTGCCATAGGTTCACGTCGATGGTGTCCAACCTCTTCGTGCCTGGTTACTGGGCCACGAGCATCCGCAGCTGGCGGTCGTACTCTAGCCACGCGCTTGGGAAGAACTGGCAGTTAGCAGTCAGGATCAACTGCTGGTACGCAATCAGTTCAGCAGTGCGGTGTAGGGCAGCAGCCGTGATAACAGACATGTATGTGGTCCATGCCTCGAGCAGGGTAGCTACATGTGTAATTATCGTGAACCTTGCGACGCACCTGCTTCGCGTCATCCGACTCAACGATATTTAGCTGGCTATCGTTATTCGGGCTGTGCACCAGCCGGAATGTTGGGCCGGAAGTGTGCAAGAATTTCAGGCAACAAACTTGAAAAATCTACGAACTCCCCTCGCAAGATACGGTCTTGCACAGCCTTGGGCACAGCTGGTGCAGGTGGCTGATCGGGTGGATTACAGGAGCTTGGCCTGGCGTAGTGGCGGCAGCTGCCGCATTGCCTTGGCCTTGGGTGAGGAGCGGCGCAATGCTCTCCGATAATAATAAAATGGCGGCCGACAGAGCCGACTACACCTCGTCCCGTACGGGAGCGCAGAGATCCGTTGAGCCCGCGTCACCTGAGCTGGCGGAGGAGGCATTGGTGCACGTCGGGCTTCTGGGCTCGCGAGCCGTGTCCGCACTGTCATGTTGCTGGTTCTCCTGGCCGGAGCAGACCTCACTACCAAGGGCTAGTTGTGCCAGCAAACGGTCCTGTAAAATACTTTTACTAAGTTTCCTTTCGGATTCAAGCCGCGCTGAGAAGGCTCGCCGCGGAGGGCTTGGCAAGGCATTGCCTTGACAGTGTCGACAGTAAGGTCAGACATACTGAAGAAATACAGTGTCGAGGTGACACTCGGGCTGGCAGCAAAGCTACGAAAGGAAAAGAAACACTGCTGAAGCACGATCCGTTGTCTGGAAGAGCACAACAGGGCAAGCAAGATTTGTTTTTCTTTTCCGCAAAAATGGGCTGGTGCCATTTGTGATTACGCAGCAAAACAAAGCGCATGACGTCAGTCTTGAATGCAGTACAAAGCAATGCAGTGCAGTGTGTGCGCTAGTTCGGATTGTTGCTAACAAGTACTAGCACAGCTAGTACACCATTATAGTGATATTTTTACTGGATAAAATACGTTTTGCTTTTGATATTTCGTACCAATATCACTGTAGCCGATATATTCTTATATCCGGTCACTCTATAGCCGATACAGACTGTACACGAAAATAAGAATGGTCTAGGCCCTAGGAGGCTAACCCCCCCCCCCCCCCCTCCCCCCAGTTCTTTGGTACCTGACAGTACTGTAGTCTGTCGTCACATGTTTTCTTTCCTTGGTTGTGTTCAGACCGGATGTTGTAGTGACGTGTTTTCTTTCCTTGGTTATGTTCAGACCGGATGTTGTGTCGCTAGTGGACGCGTTTGATCATCCGGATGAAGTCCTTCACTCGGCGTTGGGTGCTTATGACGGGGATGTGTACAAGCGCATGTATGACTATGCCAAGCGCGAGCCGCTGAACAAAACCGAGGTAAATATGAGTGGATTTTCTGATGCTGCTGTTGAATTGGTGAAGACTTTTTTAGTAGTCTCTCTCTCTCTCTCTCTCTCTCTCTCTCTCTCTCTCTCTCTCTCTCTCTCTCTCTCTCTCTCTCTCTCTCTCTCGATATTGATATCGAACATGGTTGGTTGAAATGTGGTCCTCCTGGCCAAGTCTTACCAATCTGGAACGACAGCTTAACCCTGTGTTCTTGTCTCTCTCATTTCTCACCAACAGGTTGCAGATGGCATCCACGAGTACTTGAAACCACTGATGAAATCTAAAGTTTAGCCAGGCAGTGGGCTAGCTGGAGAAAACATGGAGAATGGAATTTCAGCCATCGGACTACCCTTTCCATGCATTTCTGCTTGACAACACAACTTCACTACTTTCTAAGCATGTCCCATTTGGAATATTCTAATAGGGAATTCGCATCACCCTTGCTGCCAGTCAAGCTTTCCTTTTGATCACTAGAAATTAAATTAAGTAGCATTTGGCACAATGAACAATATTGTTTCAGTGTACAGAGATTTTTTTAAATTTTTAAATTGCAAACTTCTGCAATAATATAATATCAATTTGTAGTTTTTACCATTTAGAAGTAAGAAATTGGGTGCTCAGCTACCAAACGTGCTTGAGAGCACCACAAATGGGTGGTGTGACATTGCTGAAATGATTCAAATGAGATAAGATGGGTTTGTAATATTCCAGGTGTCACAGCGCTGCATGTAAATGGGTGTGCACCCCTTGAAGTTTCAACGATCAACGAGGAGTGAAGTAAAGATTCTTTCTATCCTAAATTGGGAAAGGAGGAATAATGTGTTCTCAATCCTATTTGCTGACCAATTGTGACAAGAAACAAGAAAGTGAATAACGGGTCCATGTGTATTTGTTGCGGAAGCGGTCGAGCGGTCGTTACTTCCTGCTGTTCTGGGTGCTCTTCCCGGATTGCGTTTACCGTGAACACACGGCGCATGTGAGTTCACGTGCATTGTAGTACGGCGGACACATTGGCGAGTTTCTGCAGTCGACTGCCGCCACGTACAGGTGGTGCGTGGCGTAGCTGGACGATATGTCGTCACCGGCCTCTATCTGATCGTCGAAGCAGAGGAACATCGAGCGGTGGTCAATGTTGAAGTTGGCCGACGTCAGGTAGCCGTAGTACTCGCGTGTCCAGCCGTCCGGGCACGTGTTCCGTCCCGGCATCATGATGCTGGTGCTGCGGCCTCGCGACTCACACACTGAGCACGTCGCAGAGCGGTCGGTGTTCTCCGCATGCCATGGCTCGTTCTGCCCCTGCATCTTGTAGACTGCCGGATACATTATGCCACCCCACTGGTAATCCGAATAGCTGTGCAGTCCAAACAAGGCAAATAAAATGCGATACAGAAATCAATGACATTCTACAGCTACAGAGTGTTTCCTGGTGTGATCCAACGAGCTGGAATACTCTCCCTGCACCCGAGCCAGGCAGTCCTTGACGTCCTGCTTTGTGCAAGCCAGCTCAGCTTACGCAGCAGCCGTGCAAGGCTCCAGAGGAAATCATCGAGTTGGATTTCTCTGTCCATCACGTGCGTATACTGTGTGTCTACTGGTTCAAGCTCACCTAGCCCCTAGTCCTAGTACTCCAGCTGTAAATGATGGCAATCTCAGATTTGTTGTTGACATCGCTTCAAGTTACATCTCTGTGACAGAATGGCAAGTGACAGTGCACATTTACAAGGTCTAATGAGTAAATGTATTCCTTTTCGAAATGGTTGTAGCAACTTCGAAGACAATGTTTTAGGAAAGTTATTTGCTTCCCACACTGGAGCTCGCGCTTTTCTGTAGTGGATTGACAAGTCGGCGGAAAAGTGAAAACTCTATTGTGGAGAGCAATCCACTTTCCAATTTCTGTTGTAAAAGATATCCGACACCCCATCCTTAAGACCGTATACGCATCAGGAAGTAAGAAATAGAGCCGCAAGAACCTTTCTACGGCTCTATTTAATATTTCTTATATTTATTACTGAGACTGCAACGGGCTATGTTTGCTATTTTGAGTGCTGGAATCGAGAACTCACCGTCCGTATGTAGGTGTTTTCGGCATGCATTGAGGATTGGCACCGCTGCCAAGGTCGGAGTGGTACGCACCACCCACCCATCCAGAGTACACCAGTGTGGACGACGATGGACACTCACTGCGACCCCAGCGTGTGAAGGCTGCGAAAACAAAAACAAAAACATTAATAATTTTGTCAGATGCTCACATTGTCATCAGTGAAATCAGCCATCACCGGAGATGATCATGATCTTCTCGAGAAGCCTTGCGAAAATCGAAAGCATAATGGCCCAGGTTGCCAAAAAATATTGCTCTGCTCTAAGATAGATTGGAGGTATCTCTAGGTGGAAACAGTTTAAAAAATACATCTGAAGCAAAGGATTGTCTGAAGCCAAGAACTACCCTGCTCAATATGTTATGCTTTACATAGATGGTAAGCTTGATCCTTATGTACTGCATTCATACTCAATATTGATTCACCCATGAGCTCGCCGGATGCATTAGTTGTAGTCATTCTTCTTGCCATATTATTTGCTTTGTATCTCTGCATGGCATAATAATTATTGGCTTCCATCGTCGTATCGATGAAAGTAAAGTGAGTGCACTCATACCACAAGAACAGTGGAACAAGGATTTTGACTTTACTTCCATCGATATTAGGTTTCTTGTCTCCACGCCAACTTTCCTCCATTGTACTCATTGATGTATTGAAACTAGCCATTAGCCCTTACTTGTGTGGCACAGTGCCTCGCATTGCCACATTGCAGCATTCATGTCACGGTAATACACGAGGACACTGTAGTGGAACACTCACGTGTTGTGATAGTATCGTTCTTTGCCTCCACCTTGCTCAGCTGTTGCTCCAGCTTACGCACTTCGTTGATGGCCGTCTCCAGACCGCTCGGTTCTCTTGTGGACTTGTCCTCATCTACATGTTTAACACCACATGCATTACTGGTGCACAAAACAATGCTTGATCTAATGTTCCATGAAAATGAAGGATTGGTCAAAAACATTACAGATTGATCAGTATATCATGCATGCTGCGAGTTTGTCACTGAATACGCACTTACCAATGATTTCACCCCCCCCCCCCCCCCACACGCACACACCCATCTCTCTCTCTCCACTATGAACTTCATGGTTACTTTCTAGGCACCTCTAACCTTGAAAAAATACATTTCATCACTGACATTAGAGTCGCCAATCAAAACAGACTGTTAGTCTATGAGACACATTCTACACAGCAGTAACTCAGTGGCACCAGAAAGTACTGCATCACAACCAGACGTCCCGAAAAGGTCTTCTTACTTTGTTGGCACATGAACTCGGACGCGGAATTCAACTCGCATATCTGCCCTGGTGAGCATAAAGTCTTCACTTCAGCATCTGCTGCAGTTACGAAAGCACAAGGAAACAAACAGGGTGCTTCAATGAGATCCATTCCATTCCACCATTCATCTTGTTTTTCGTGCAATGCAACTAATTCGTTGATGATGTCCATGGCCGAAATGCGTCACATTTTACACTTGCCTGTTTTCGTGTCTGTCAACTGAGCATGCAAGGAGCAAGTGAGTAAGTGCTCAGAACAAAGGCCAAGTGCCTAGGTTGAGGTAACGTATATAGCATCATTGATTGGGCATATGGAATATCACTCTATAATAATAGTACACACAGCTCGCATCTTCCCTGAACCTGTTAGACAGGAGCAGGGGCGACACATCTGTCAACAGTGTCACATCAAGTTAATCTATCTCCTGCAGCCTGGAGAGTGCTCTCCACAGAAAGATCCGCTGCCCTCAGGTCTTGCCGAATCGTATCTATCCCCAGCAATGGTGGTCGGCCATGTGTTTAAAAAAATTGCTTGCATTGCTGGATAGCTCCAGTGCTTGGAAAGAGGCGGATTCTGGACCCTCTCGCATCACATGGCCAAACCACAGCAGCCTGCGTCGCCGGCATATGGCACTAACTGGAGATTGTTTTGTTTTTGTGTATAAGTTGTTATTGGTGAACAGAAAATTAATGTCTCTCCCTCTGGTTTATTTTCTCACTGGTTTAATAGACCTCTCGCCAGTCTAATAACAGTTAGATCTCTCACTCTCTAATAGACTGACTTGAAAAATCTCTCACTGGTTTATTGGAGTTGCATTCTAGCAGCATGGTCTGGAGCCTGGGGAGTCGGCCATTACGAGAGAGCAATGTTCGTGCAATACAAATTTCCAGAGTTTACTCACTGCGGTGCAGGCCAGAGTAGATATGGAACACGTCCAGTGGCGAGTCGATACCGAGCTCCTTCAGCAGGCCGGCGACTGCATTGTAGTCGTCGGTGAGGAACACTCTCTGGTCCACGCCGTTCTTTCTGAACAGTTCCTTCGTGCTAGCAGCCAGCTCTGATGACAGCCCAGCCTCTGACAACAGCTCACCCATACAGCATTCCCCAGGGCTGCTGCTACCCTGTGTTGGAGAAGCTAAGGGAAGATTTAGAGTAGTACAAACAGGCACATATACACATTTTATACACAGAAGAGGGACTGCCATTAAAAATTTAGCATTGCAGTTGACTGAATCTCATTCAACGGTAGATCTGCGGTGTACTCCCTGAGCATGGCATGGCTCACATCCATTCAGTGAGTAATGATCCAGTCAAGCCGCAATGCTTTACAATCGCCACACTAAAATGCGACGCTTGGCACTGACAGTTTTGCTGAAATTCGATGATCTGACGCTACGAATAATATTTCTAGGACTAGCACATACGAAGTGAAATGTGTTTCATGAATTTGAGGGAGTTGCTAAAGGGTAAACTCCGAAGAAAAGTTCAATTTTGTCTCTCGACCGCACTACTCAAGCCAAGGAGCTTCCTCGACTATGCCGCAACCACTGAGCTATGGCGCGGTCTTTACTCCTAACAGCGGTCAATCAACAATTACATTTCCCTTAGACTTCCAACCGTATTTGTACAGGGAACATTAATTTTCATTCAAACATAACAATGATTACAACTCATGTGTCGCAGGTTTCTTACCTGCTGCTCGCGAGAATGCGAGGAGGGCAACAGCGAGCGATAGCGTTGCACACTTCATCGTCAGAGAATAAAATCGCCCTCCGCGACGTACTGTTTCTAAAGTGCTTGGTGCAGCAGAGGGTCTTCCAATTCCATCTGAGAAGTTGGGGAAGACTGGAGCATTTTATACTGGTTTGCTTTCGCCTGACTCACGCCACGGGATGTCCAAAGCCAAGCTAGCTCGGCGAGCGCGTGATCACCCCAACATCTGCAGTTTTTGTCAGCAAAGACAGCTCGCTTTGACGTAGATAATATTATTATTATTATGACTGTACATACCATGATTGTACATGTACTACAATTGTATGTCCTAATGATAACGTGCGTTTGTCAATGTGGCAACTCCTCCGACGAGCAAAACAAGAAATAAAACTCCAGGTTTGCTCTCACGTGACGACCTAGTCCATGATGCCGAAGTATGATTGAGAATTAGTCAGCAGCATGTCCGCGTGAGACTTCATACGCCTTGCCTCGCAGGTTGGACAGGAGATACTGCGATGACGGGTGGAAAGGTACTAGGTCCATACTTGACGTCCCGGAATCAATATTATTTTTTCAGGAACAACAAAGCTTCATGTGCATGTAGCCTTGTAAGTAATAGTTGTAGGAGCAAACCTCAACAATTTGCCATAATTATCTCGTTGTTGCCTGATCATCGGCTGATGATTGCGAAAGCATGAAGCTCTGAGTAGCGACTAGCTAGCCTTGATTGCCCTTGTTGTTCCGTGTAATTTTCCATTTGATATGAGCAACAGGGGAACGCAAAGCGTGAAATAGAAGACGGCAGTTGAGTGCATGACGAACATGGCATACATGTACTTCCGCACACAATCAAAATTATCTCAAAGCGAACTAGTATTGACGAAAGACCTAAGTAAAATAAGCGCACTCATACCACGAACAATTGAACAAATAAATTGACTATGTTAAAATGTTAACGTCGTTTTCTTGTGATTTTTTTAGCATGCTGTCCGCAGATTGAGTAACATAATTATTGTTCAATTATTCGTAGTATGAGTGCGCTTATTTTACTTTCATCAATATTTGGTTTCTTGTCTCCACGCCGACTTTTTAAAGCGAACTAGTGATAGGGATTTCAGCGATATTGTAATGATAAGAATTTTTTAAAGAGAATAGGCTGCTCGCAAGGCTCTCTGAAGCTCGCACTGGACTGACTTACGACTGCCAACCATTCCGGAGCATGTAAGAAGTCCATCAACTCTTCGCCGACCCGGCAAACCTGCGAGAAAGCATCACTCCCTGTCAGTGTGCGGGCGTCCCTCGTCACTTGAGCGTGCAGGCAGAGGAAGTGTTCGGTTGAAAAAAAACCTCTTGAACACCAGACAGCAGCGTGAGTCAGCGTCACCCAATGCTGTCCGTTGGTTATTCGCAACAAGCTCAGCTGAAGAGGGGTGAATTCCTTCGACGTCCTCCTTCATGAGTGACTTCAGGTCGACCTACTGGATACGAAGAATGCCTGAAGACTCCACAGGCACTGCCTGCAGGTCTCGTCCCAAGTTAGAAAGTGGAGCCCTGCGACCGCCGGTATCACAAGCTCTTCAGGCTGCACATTTTTTTCTGGCATCTGAAAGAGAAAGCGAAGACTGTAGTCTGTAAAATGGCGGTCAGCACATGCCAAAACATCACACGCGCTATCTAGCTGCAAACAGCTCTGTTGGGTAGGTCTACCGGGTCGCGAATCCATCTCCTCTCACCATCACCATCAGTTCGCACCTGCCACCTTGGCTTAGTGACCTAGTCGCGTCGGTGGGTGGTAACGTCTTGCTTGGTAGACCTAGGCTGTTGCACCACACATGGCGCAGAGTAGACGACACAATGACATTATGTACATGTACGTGTAACAGCGGCTTCCTGGATTGCGACTCGAAATTCATCACACTTGTCCTCCTCAGGCAATTTTGGCAATTATTCTTGGGCGGGAATCTTTACCGGTAGGTAGATTATACACCTGTTTTTTTGTTTGTTACGGAGAGCAGAGGGATCAGTTGTCTGAGGATTGCCATGATCTGGAAGTTAGAGACGTCTTCAGTCGAAGTCGAAGGAGCAGGCTACGAGTACGAGGCAGTATCGGCAGAGAAGGAATGGTGATGGTGAAAGGTCAGAGGGAGAAAGGGAGAGGGAGACTTTTAAGGTGCAAAGGAAACAGAGAGCTGCAGGCGACCGGAAAGAGGGTGGAGGTCGAGGGAAACCACTACAATAATCATGTAGTTCACAGCAGACTTGAGAACGGTTTTATAACTTTTATTCACAACACCAATTGGGCCAATCGCGTGAAACCATGAAGTAAAAGTTCACAGCATACTAGTGATACGAATGATAATTACTAATATTACTATAGTAATATCATTCGTATATCAGTCAAGTCATTACACTGGAAATACTAGCAAGGGAGTGTTACTTCCCACGTAGTTCTGGTGGGTGAAATCCAAACGCATGAATATAACACTACATGTATTTACAGCCCCGATATTCCTCGCATGCGCTGAAGCAACCAGTGTAGCGTAAAAAAAGGTGTAGAGTTGAGTGTCTTTCCCCTCCACATATCACCTTCGTCTCTTGAAATTAATTTCTGCTCGTGTCTGCGTACACCTGTTTGCATTTAACTCGCATATTCACGCTTTCTTCCAACACTACAAACACAAACATACGTGCATCATACATGTAAATACAATACCGAGACTTGTAAAGTACATGATAATTATTATGTACTTTACATGTCATGTACATGTACATGTACGTATTCACTACATGTATTATCATGCAAAACAAACTCAATGAATATGAATGCAAAATAAAGCCGGTGGAGGCGGAATCGCTTTATTGAGAAACAGGCCGAAAGCTGTTGCTTACCGTTTTAGTACAATACAAAACAGGTGAAGAAATCAGGAAAACATAATAATATTTGTATATGTACCGATAATCATGGATTGGTATCCACACTGGAACATGATGTCATGGGCAAACATGTACATGTACTTCCTGACCTAATCAGACAGGGTCATCACCAGTACAGTTGGGACTATTAGGCGGAGAGCGCCATTTTGATATCCATGTACCAGTTAATATTGCATTATAGTGTGCCCAACTCACTATAATAAAACTATCGCTATATTAAAGTTAAAATATCCATTAGTTTGGGGGAAAGGTGGAAACGGAAAAGGTCAGAAGAAGAAAATGACTGTCACTACCATCCAACCAGGGACCATCGCTTATGGCCAGCAATGCTGTACAGTGTACCACTAAGCTATGGTGTAGTCGTCACCCAAGTTAAAAAACATAAAACTTTCCATTCCCCAGAGATCACGTCACTGAGGTCTGACTTGTGCTGTGGTTTGTCTATCATGGAGCGAAATGTGTCTGTGACTTGATTGGCGGAATCCTTTGCAAGACCTCACCCACCACGAGTATAGTAACCAATACAAGTGGCCACGGACTCGCACCTTCATCACTCGCCCCAACACTACACAGCGACTTCCTCACATGGGCTGACAGCAAGCTGCTGAGTGTAGTACATGTACATTGTATTGCTGCTAGCTATCACTATCAGCAAGAGTACTTAACCTGGTTATGTACTCCTGCTATCAGTGATAAGACAAGTGTCAAGCGGACTACTCTTGTAGGGGAGTTGGAATCGATACTGATCATTAATTTTGTTGTATCTCGAAATTCGTCGATTATCCTGAATGTCAGCCAAGCGACAGTAGCCCGGACCGCTTCCTCCAATCAACAAAGCCTCAGGATAGACTGGCCCAATGTCATGGTTTGTAATGTGCTTTGAGTTGAGCACCGACGTTGTTGGTGAGTGTGGGATGGAGTTCCTGTTCTGTGCTCATGTTGCAACAGCTTGCTTACGATCACGACAGCGTATAGTGAAGCTGAATAGCGCGTTTAGTAGTTAGAGCAACAACGATAGCCTGATCTGACTTCGAATGCCCATCCCAGCACGTGCTGTACGCACATGTATCCGTAGGCATTGATAAAGTCCTTTAAAAAAACTTCAAGCAGGTGACCTTGGAGCATTCTGCTGAAACCTGTCGTGTAAGCACATACGGGTAATTGGACTGTGTCATGCTTATTGATAGAACGATGCTGCTTCGAAGTACAATGTCATACCGGTAATACATGATTGTAGAATCACAAACAAGGCCGGTCTAAGATTGTACAATCATGTATATGACAGAACTACCGCGGTATCTTCCTTCACAAAGTGGCAATCCAGGATCACCAGTGGTAGTCACTGATGTTGAATGGTTTAAAACAGTTTGTGCAAAGCAGTTGGTACTGCAGGGATTAGGGAGGAAAGAGATCCGGAAAAGTGTGCAATGATTTGAACAATTAGCATAGTGTTTTGGAGGAAACTGAAACAAAATGACATGCAATATACATGTAGGAATTCACCCAAGGATGATTACTCAATACCTCAATGTGGCTCAATGTTGCCTGATGAATCGTGATGATTGCATTGCAATAAGCATGGAGCTCAGATTTGCGACGATCTAGCCTTGTCCCGTTGTTGCACTGTGTGAGTGGGGGGGGGGGGGGGGAGAGGGAGGGGGGTGGGACCCATCACTATCATGGACAATGGCAGTATTGGTTGTTTTGTTGCGGTCCACAGTCTTGCGGTCTTGCGGTCTTGGTCCACATTCCACTTTATGGAAGTACTCACTCCCGGGACAGCTACATGTACATGTACATGCACTATATGATGTAGCTGTTTCGACCTTGTTGTGTCTCATGAGCAGAGTGACAGACCGAAACGAACGCAATGAAGTCTGTTTTGAACAACGAAGCAAACTATGTACAGTGTACAGTACATGTATTTTTTTTTTTAAAAGCTCATGGTAGTGACCATTGATTGTAGACTACGAGAAGATACACAGGTAACACGTCCTTTGCACTATTTACTATCACACAGTGCTGAGAAGACCTTCCTACAAATGTCTTTCCAGCTTTATGTCTGACCTTCGATCGCATTATGTACAGTGCTGAGACTGCTGACCAAAGAAATCCGCCCTCATGACTATAAGTGTAGTTTTCCTCATTGTTTATTTCTATTGCATGATTTGCATCAGGAGATCCCCTCGACAGGCCATCGCCTCTAGGAGATCCTTTAAT